ATTATCAACGAAATCTTTTTAGATAAAAAACGAGGAACGGCAGGGGCAGACAAAACTCCTGGCAAAAAAAGTTTTAAATTGGAGTTGTAAAATAGGAAAATGAAACTTTAGCAGTTAAAAGATTTTGAAGAAAGCAACACATCCGAAAATGCTATTTCTATTTCAAGTTTTAATAATTGAGTTGAAAATACTAAAAATTAAAAATACTGTTTGAGACAAGCTATTAATCTTTATCTAGTTTCTGTTTACAAAATTTTTGTTGCAACATATTTTTTTAGTTCCTGTTTTGAACTCATTTAAAAAGGGATAAACTTTGTATTTGGGTTAGTTTTAGTTGTTTAGTGTTTTTCTGCGCAGAATCATTGTTAGATTATCACAATCAGAATAAAATGAAAAAGAAGGTGCCAAAAATTTGATTTTTTTGCTTGTTTTGTTTTTAATGTTTTTTCTCGACAAGAACTAGTCAAATATGACGTATGTGCAAACGTTATAAGCTTTTTTTCTACTACGCACAAAAAACGGAGTAAGTTTGAAGAAAAAGGAAAAACTTTTGTCAAGATTTTTTCACATGGTCCGACCTTTATGTGCTACTTGCCCAACAACCATCTAACTTTCTTTATTTTCTTCTTTTGTTTTGATAAAAAGTTGGGGACTCTTTGCCTGGTCGTAAAAATTGCTGATATTCGTTTTACGTATTTTACTTTTAATATTTTCTAAATCAACTTCACCGGTTTGGTGTTAAAAGAAAAAGATCAGAAAGTCAGAAAGTATGGTTAATAGCCTATTGAATTTGACATGAAAATTGTTTTCAGATTTTTGATAATTTATTTTTTTCGAAATTTGAAATTTCAAATTCCTCATTTAATGTTTAATTCTTCATAGCGAAATCATATTTTCTATAGAGGCATATTTTTTCACCTTTTTTGCCATTTTTTGATGTTGTGAATATAAATGAAAAATTACTGTTTATTGTGCAGGTAGCCTAGAAAACTCCAACCGCAGATAAGCTTTCAAAAGATTTTGAAAACGCGTATTTTGATTTTTTCCAACTACCTTTTGCTTTTTGATTTTGTTGGGGGGAACAATCGTAATTACAGCTGTTAAAATTCAGATAGTGAAATTAAGTTTTTGCTTTAGTTTTTGTATGAGGAAGTGTTTATTCTTGTTTCTGACTCATTAAACGCTTTTGACTGGTGAATGGGACACAAAATGTTGGAGCAGAAATGTTCCTCTATTTTTTTCTCAATGCGTAAGAATTTTATATTTTGCTCAAATTACAAGACAGAGAAAGTCTGGAAAATTTTTTATGGTACCTGTTCTTGCTTATGCGTGAAAAAAACTTCTAAATCTGAATTCTTTTCAACTGCTTGGTCTTATAAAAAAACTTGCTTTTTCCAGCTAATTCAAATTATTTATAAGCGAAAAGTTATTGTTTATTTGTATCTAAAAAATCTAGTTGTTAGCTTCCCAATTCTACATAAAATCAATTGTTTTAAAAGTAGCTTGCTAGATCAGATATTCAGGATTCAAACGCAAAAACAGGTTATAGCTATCATACCTGCAAAAAGAGCTATTCACATGCTTTGATAGAGAAATTTCTATGGATTAGGAAAAATCAACCTCTCACAAATTATCCTGCCAATTCTCAGATTAGGAATTCAATTGAGAAAACCAGTAGAAATCTACCCTAAAAGCTCCGCTATTTTTGATGAGAAGCCGTTGTGGCTTGGGTATAGTCCAATTTTCAAAATTTTGAAAAATATGCATTTTCTCCCGCGTCCAATCAATATTTTCTTAAAAACACCAAACAAGTATCTTCCAAAATTAATTTTTTTCAATTGCGTGGTCACATCGAAAAAAACTGTTTTTGCGAGCTAGTTAAAATAAATATAAGCTATTAAGTTTTGTACTTTTTCGTTTCTAAGCTCAAAAACACAAAGAGTGTAGCATCTCTGTTTAATATACAACTAAACAATTCTGATTTTTTGCTCCGATCCCTGAAAATGAGGAAGAATTTTGCATTCGGGTGTGTTTTAGTTTTTTTCTTATCCTACTTTTCCAGGCAAAACCAGCTTATCTCAGTTTTCCACGCAAATAATTGGACTGCGTTGAGTGATATATCATTTTAAAGCCCTTTCAGTCGTGATTCGAACAAGTTTAAACAATATTTGAAGTTTTTTAACAGTGTTGAAAAAACAGGTTTGAAATTTTTTATTTTTGGACTTATTTTGGGCTAATCAGATGACTGTGTAGCATATTTAAGCTTAATTTAAGCCATGATAACTTAGTTTTAGTCAAGTAAACGTAGTTTTTGGAGTTTTTTATAGCTCAATACTGGGAATCAAAAACTTGAAAGTTCAAAACATTCATGCAAAAGAATTTGAATAAAAAATTTAAAAATTTAAAGTTTTTTTTGAAATTTTTTTTTGTTTTTCTAGTCATTTTTTTTCAAAAACTGTTTTCTAAATGATCTATTTTATAATGACTCCGAAGTAGGCCTAATTTTTTTTCAGATATTTTATCACCACATACAAAAAAAAGACAGCAGTTTGAAAAAAAAATTGTATTTTTTTAAAACTGTTGTCAGCCGGTTGCTGTGCAATTAGCACAGAATGTTCCATCTTTATTTCAATTTGTACTGTTTATAAAATCACTTTAAATCAAAACAAAAACCCTCCCAGACAAAAACGTAACATAATCATCAAGCGCTTATGATATATTGTAGGATATCTATTTTTTGGGGGCTTTGAAGAACCTGAAATTTTTCAATTAACTTGAAAAATTCGAGAAGCAAAAACAAATGCGATAAGAACAAATTTAAAAATTGATGGCTTTCACAATATGGCTAACGGCATAAATAGTTTTAATTGATGCATGTTGGATGATGTCTAGATTTGGTTCATTGTCGAGAAAAAAATGTCTTATGATACTTTTTGCTTCGATGCATTTTTATACTAAAAAAAACTGGAAAGCTTACAGGAACCTCAAAATAGAACATGTGTTTCAAGTCAAGAGAAAAGTAAAAAGATTCAAATGTTTTGAAATACTTCAAAACAAAATTGTTTCAGAAATTTTCAGATAAAATAAAACAACTTGCGACGAAAATTGGTTCGTGTTTTATACAAGGGCGGATCTGAGATTTTTCAAAAATTTTTTAAATTTTGTCGTTTTTTGTTGTAAGTTGGCTAAATTGATTTTCCGAGCTATCTCACAGCACAAAAAAACTCTGTTATAGCCAAATTTTTTTCCACCGCAGCCAAAATTAAAAAAAAAAACAGGCCAAAAAAGCATTTTAGACACTTTTTGGAAAATTTTGCCGATAAAAATTAGAAAATTGCGCTTTTTGGCGCGAGCTTCCAATTCTAAATTAGTAAATCAAAAACTTTGTCGACTTTATATTTAGGTTGACTAAATTGATTTTCCGAGCTCTCCCATAGCACAAAAAAGACCCTGTTTTGGTCAAATTTTTTGCGCCAAAGCCAAATTGTGAAAAAACAGGCCAAAAAAGCGTTGTAGGCCCTTTATAGAAAATTTCGCCCAAGGAAATTGCGCATTTTGGCGCGCGCTTCCCCTTCAAGAGTAGTAAATATTGATGCCAAAGGAGCCTCTAGAAAACTTTTAAGACCGTCAGCCAAAAAGGGCTATCTTAATATGGTACAAAATTCAACCTCTAAATTGCTCTTGGTGAGACTAATTTCCACCATTTTTTTGCGTAAGGCAGGCTAATTCAAAGCTGTTTCGTATGCATCGAGGTTAAAATCAATTTTTAAAAATTCTTTTGCCAATTCGGATCCAATGTCATATTAAAGAATTGCCTGCATTTCAAGAAACTCTGCTAGTCTTGAAATTTTGCAACTAAAAATTTGTTTTCATTTTACAGCGAAAGTAACAAGTAATGAAGTCACTAATGACAAATTTTATATTTATTTAGTTTTTTTCTCAGCTAATGTTTTCTAAATGAACCTATAAGCTCAACAGTTCTCAAAACATGGAGAAGAGCTAAAAAAAATTGATTTAGCTAAATTTGATGTTTTTTCAATCTTTGAAATGAAGTGCAAAAATCAGAGCAATTATGTTAATTTGTGTGTAAATTTTTATTTTTCATGTTTTTATGTTTTTTGCTCTCATCAAGTTAGTTTTCAGAAAATTCAATTAAATAAACATGCAAATAAAATGTTATTTAGTTATTTGTCTAAAAAAGTTCAGAATTGATGGAGAACCTGAATTTATACAATCCTTTACCGAGTTGGCCTCGCTACGATTATCACCCATGACAGTGTAATTTGCGGCACTGAGTCTTAGATATTACATGGCAAGGATAGCCTTGGAGCACCAGTGAATCAGAAAAGCACCAACAAAAAAACTTTGTCGAATATGGTTTTGGGGCTCAGGTTATTGTAAACATATTAGTTGTTACTACAGTGTGCTTTTAGTACCTATGTACAATCCGTTTTTTAAGACAAACAGGCGAAGATTTCCAAGAAGAGGAAGACTAGAGAGCTGCATATGGTGTGTTCGATTCACGTGGAGATAATTTAATTTTAGCGGTATTCTGAAAAACAGTGCAGATTCAGAAATGCTTTAGCAACATATCAGAACTGCAATTTTGAGCGCTTGATGATGGTTGTTCCAAACCTGACTATAGATAACATGCCACTGAATCAGCGATGGCTAAACCTAATTTTTCTCTAAATTAGCAATGATTACCGAGATGTCAACTGGGGCTAAGTTTGTCCTGAAAATCGTCTGTACATTTTAGTGAAATCTTGCTCAAAAAGTTTTAAGACATTCAAAAATACACTTTCAAAGGTCTTGTTCTCCTCAGGAACACAAAAATTTGGCTCAATTTATTCAGAAAAAGGTCTTGAAGTTTTTATTTTAGTGGCATCTCATCAATAAGCTTTAAATTGAGCACCAAATCCTCTTGAATGGCAGCATCAATATTTAACAGCGAGCAAACAGAATAGAGAAACGGCTTTATTTTATAATCCTTTCATCTGCTGCTCTTTTGAGAGGAAGCAAAAACACCTTTCCAAATGCTCTCGACTCCTCTTACTCATTTTCAAGACTGTTTCGGATCGAAGAAACACTGATTTGTTTGTTAAGATAAAATTATGCAGTTAAAAACTCCATTAATTCTCCAGAAAAATGATATTTTCAATTATATTTCTAGATTCCAAAACCTCCGGTAAGTCAACGCAGTCTTGTGTTATGCACTAAATCTTTCCTCCTCTAAACTTTCCTTAGTTTTCCAAATATTAAAAAATATATTTGAATCAACGAATTAATCCATTAGACCAATAAGACCAATTAATCCAAACTCTGTCTCCATAGATTTTTGGCAATATATCAAAAAAATTAATTTCCTTGATTTAATGTCATAATATTTAGCTGTAAATTTTAATTATCTTTTTTTAAAATCAATTTTTTTATTGTAATCTTCAATTTTGTAAAAAGTTAAGCTTAATGAAGTAATAATTATGGGGTTTGTGTTGTGGTAGGGCCCTCCATCGTCACATCTGGGCCAGATTCTGAACCATCTGACAAACAAAATGTTCCCTCTTATCAAGATGAAGACATGCAGACGGGGTCAGAATTCCCCTCGATCAAAGTATCCACTAAAAGTGACCCTGACAAGGACGACTACCCGTCGCCCAGCTCAACAACCACAGGTTCCGCCAAATAACTGATTCTACAAACTGTTTCTTTTCTCCGTGTCCCATGCCGCCTGATGCGAAGTCCCAGTTCAAATATGCCAAGTATAGTTTGTAATTTTTCAAGAATTACAAAAAAATTCTAGATGGTTTTTTCAAACATCACTTTTTCGATATATCGCTAAAAAGTCATAAGTTGTTGAAAAGTCAATCATTCTTCTTGCTCAATTCACCATTCAACTGTTAATTGACTAAGTATCGCAAATTTATAATTATTTTAAGTTTATTTATCAATTCTAACTTTGATGGTTCTATTATCAGGGCAGACAGAGTCTAAACCGAGTCAAGACAGCGACGTGTCTGGGTTCTGGGGCAGTGGACAGCCCCCTCCCGAGACCAAGTCATACAGCACCAGTTCGACAGGGGACACAAACTCACTAGAGAGCAACAACAGCGACGTCTCTGGCTTCTGGAGCTCCAAGGGTTCAGGGCCAGGGGCGCCTCCGGGCGGAGACAAACCAGACAGTTTGACTGACTCCAGTTCAGGGAACACATTATCAAATCCATCAGAAAACAGTCAGGTATCAACAGTTCCGTCTTTTTTTGTTGATTTGCGTTCATGACTCTCCATCTGTTTTTGATATGCTTGAATTTTATCGGAAATTTTATAAAGAGAACAGACTTTTGTTTTCTGACTAAAATTAAGACAAAAATGGAATACGAATCCAAAATATTGAACAACGAGAGAAGTAGAAACTGAAAAGTTTAATACAGAGCTGCTGTTGATCAGGTGTCCGGTTTCTGGGACAGTAGTAAAAGCAAGTCGGCGGGGGGCGACCAAAAAGCGAAAAAACCAGCCGGAGGTGGAGGCGGCGGAGGGGGAGGGGGAGGCCAAAAAGCACCATCCAAAAACGACAAACAGTCTCAAGACTCCGAGTTCTGGGCAGACGACGACGAAAACGGGGCGGCCAAAGGAGACGACTTGGACGACTATCAGACATTTGACGACACTTCAAACATCAGTGCAGACAAAACAGTGGAAGTTAAGACGAAATAACAGACTAACTAACCATGTCTCAGTAGAATAAATTATAATTATTATAACAAAAATTGTTATAATCATTATAACACTTAGTTCAATAACAACCAATTGCGCAACCAAGGATTATATCTGCTTTTTTACTCCAGAGAAAATTGGTGCTTTTTGTAATTTTAATTTTGGTGCTAGTTATAAAAATGTGTACTATTATTAACGTAAAATAAAACTAATAAATCACCATTTTGAAAAAAAAATTATGAAAGAAAATCCAGAAAAGATAGGAAGACAACTAAAGGCTTGAGCTAATAGAAGAAATAGTGCTTTCCACGCTCAATTTATAAAAGTTTATCAAATTTATTGAGAAATAGTTCAGAAAAGGTTGGGGGATTTATCCCGACAGTCTGTCTGCAGAAAGCTCAGCTTTCATTTTTAAATTTCAGGTTTTATTCGGATACTGCAATTGGTTCGGCACCGTTGGTCTCAGAAATAGTCAGCGGTTCGGGACTCGGGTCATCGCAAGTCGGGCTTAAATGTAGCGGGCTGTTCGTACTTTTCTCAGCCGGCTGTGTTTCGGGTTCATTCTTTGACACTGTATCAACGATTGACCAAAATTTAGACCCATTTGAAGTCGTTTTGCGTCTCGGCTTTTCAACAGGAGTCGATAGTTGCGAATGGTTCGAAAATATAGTTGTGACGTTGTTTTGTCCTGAGATTTGATTCGCGTGGGTTGCGAAAGCAGACTGTGAGGAATGAGAGGAGAGGTTGATATTGTCGAGGGTTGAGTTTGGGAGGAGGGTGGGTTTGTTGGTGCCGATAGGGTTTGTGAAGGGCGACAGGGGCAACTTGCACTTAACCAGGGTGCCAGGATATGGGTGTCCTGGGGAGGAGTTGCCGTGCAGGGTAGTTGAGAGGGGGAGCTTGGGTGTCGCATTGCACGTGGACGAATCTAGAAACAGAGGTTTAATAAAAAAATACTTCGCAGTAATGTTTGCCAAGAAATCAGTTAAATTGACGAAGAGTAAAACATAACGGGGAATTGGTTCGAAAGTTTTTTATTTAACTAAAAGGAGTTGGTAAATTGTGTTTTGAACTGCATCTTCTCACACATGTACATTTGTGTCTATATCCCTGATTTCCTGGAACTACTATGATAGTCTTACTAGCTTTGATACCTTGATGTTGGGGTAGGGGCTTTAGAGTTTGATTGGTTTGAGGTTTAAGCTTCACTGTTTACCATTGTTAAACAAGGTTCTATTAATCAATCAAAATTTGCACTAGTTCATTAAATAACAGCGATTGTGAAACTTAATAGATTGTAAAATTGCTCAATAAACACCGGGGTTATCGGAAATTCTGCTAGGTTGTCGCAGCTGTAAATTTATGAGTTTTAGTTTTTGTCAACAATTTGTCATTATTTAAGACCCAAACTGATTGGACTGTGTTTACACCTGTTGACTAAGTGAGCTTTTACCCGACGGTAAGTTATGTTATGTACATTAAATGGGGCTCTCGTTTTCTCTATTCACATACGCTTATCTTGAAAAGTACCGACAGTCATGGCGATTACAGATTACAAATTATGTTCTGAAGTTGTAAATTAGACAAACTTTCTCTTTATGAGCCAAAGCAAATGCTGTTTTAGGTGAATAAAAGCTAACGGAGTGAACAAAGAGCGATTCAAGGTGTATTTGTGCTTCAAATGAATGGATGAAGGCCTGTTCTTTCAAGTTGTTCAGCAGACGAGTGAAACTTCCTGCAGTTGAGAGAGGAAGGGAAACGCGAAGATTAAATGAAGAGCTTAGATGAGGTTCAAGAAGACTAGTCGAGATAACTTGACCTTTGAAATCAAAACTGCCAAATGAAATGAACAGTACTCCACCCTATGTCAACTGAGTCTGTAAATGCTTAGGTTGTAAATGCTTTAAAAATAATATGCCAAATGCCTAAAATATGATTTTGCTTCAGAAAACAGCCGCAATTTAGATGAGCATGAAAAATTGACAAATGATGTTTTCCTCTCCTAAATGTTGAAAAGCAATCTATGGCTCAGATGATGTGGTTTCTGCGGAAAAAATTACAATTTTCGATAGTTTCTGACCGACTTTTGTCCGGTATTGAAAAAAAAATTTAGCTTTTACGAAAATCGTTTTCTAATCATTACTACGAAAATCTTGCGAACATGTAAGCTCGTCGTCAAAGTGTTGGCGTGATACCGATTGACCTAATTCGGGGACCAAAATTTGGTGTTAATTGCTACCTAGACATCGTCTCGAAATAACTTGACAAATTATAAAAGCCCAGAAACGAGTTTACGACTGAAATCTATAACCTGGGGAGCTGGCTTAAATCCAAGTTCGGCAATCACTTAGGCAGATAGACACAGTTTATTTATCACTTGTTCAAACCTTCTTAAATACTCATTTATTTATCACCTCTGCTAAGTTATACTAACTTGTTACTAACTAGCTCGTAAATAATTCACAATAGTCCGGGCAGTACTGCCCGACGGGGCAGGCCAGAGTATCGCCTAAGTTAATGGGTTTTGTCTGGGTAAATTTGCACTTAGGATCCTAAAATTAAAATTGACCCACTTTTGAAAGAGTTTGTAAATCACAACGACTGGTCCACAAAAGTACACAAAAAGAACTAGATTTAATCAAAGAGTCGCAGGACATTTAAGCCACTATTTTGTATCCGCTTCTTCCGTTAAGGCTTTCATCAGTTGTGGATTTAAAAAGGACCCCCCTTCCCTCAGGGATTCGACCCTGCCGACCCAAAGAGTCCCACTTTTGTACTACTTTGAGATATCCAATTTTGGCTGACTGGCCCTAAAATTGTTCTTAAGGCGTATTTGCCGCCAATATACACTAATTTTGAGTGCGAGCGCGCGCCAAAAAAAAAACGATTTTCTGGTCAAAATTTTCATGACAATTTTTAATAGAATGACAAATTTTGAAAGTAAACGTAATTTCCGTGTTCCCTTTATGAAGTGGTCATTATTTTTTGTGACAGAATTGTTTTGATTTGTTTTGTTTAGTTTTTTTTCAATGGTGGTACATTGAAGTGAGATGAAGTGAGAAGGAGAGAGGTGATATCGAGACAGCAAGGGGCGGGGGACTGCCCCCACCAACATGGTTGAACGTGTCAGAGAGACGAGTAGTTTCGGTTGTAATATCTAATAGTGCTAATTACTAATTAACCGGAGTGCTCTCAACCGAATCATGCTACACACTGCCGTACATAGTGCCAAGTGAGAAGTGATTACACTTATAATTCTCTGGCAAGATCCCTCCCACCGTTCACTTAACTAACATATGACCACCAATCTTTTGTGTATTCATGTCCAGATCAAAATAGAATCTAAAACTACAAGCTAAACACCTGAATTGTCACTGACTTGATAATTAAATCACTCGTTAGAGAAGTGTGAACATGAACAAAATATTTACTCGAAAAGTTTGCCTTCTGATTTACAATTATTGTTGATCGCAGATGAAGTGTTCTTTTAGCAGTCAATTAGTCGAAAGAGATTTTCAGCTACATTTTTCAATTATTTTCACCAATTGAAGATACTACACTATACTTGTAATACATGCTAAGAGTCTGTCACTTTTTGGAGAAGTTTTTGCTCAGCATGAATGACCAGCAAAACTGTATATCACTTGACGAGGTTTTCAACTTTTGATTAATATTATGTTAATTAATTGCCATCGATGATCATACGTGTAATTTTTCTCAGCTTGGCTCTTAATTATTTTATTCATAGTTATTATTACCATCAATTCACTAAGCTGTTTTACAGCAAGCGGCCGCGGAGATTATTTCTGGAGAGGCTTGAGTAAATAACTTGCTCTCTCAAACCAATCAAATCTACATATCCACCTCTGCCATTGAGCCAGTCAATTAGAGAAAGCACCAAAATAATCACCACCCCCATTTTTACAAGTGAAAACATTATCGCACAAGCACACCACAAATTGAAAGCAAATAATAATAACAAACAGACAATTAAAAAAGTTTCCAAATGGTCTGCAAAATGTCTGAAAGCTCGCCCTACCCTCATCCTCGTTAAGTTCCGCAAGATTGTATGAAATAATTGCTATGCGAAAACACGAGAAAAATAGGTAAAGTAAACTTTGAAAATGTACCTTTAGGTGTGAAAAGATCATCATTGTATCCCTCGTCATCTTCGTTCACATGGACGCGGAGCACTTCGTGTGGCTTCGGAATTGTCGTTGAACTCTCGTCTGGCCTAGACGCCTTTGATATCACTGACCTGCTATCGTCGTCAAGAGCAGTGACGTCATCGTCATCATCCATTTCATCATCTTCGTCGTCGTCGTACGAGTTCCGAGGAGTCCACGTCATTTTCCCTTCCTTTTTCAGACGTCTTCTGGCATTTGCGAACCAGGTGGAAACTTGAGTGAGGCTCATTTTGGTTATGATTGCCAGCATCACTTTTTCGCCCTTTGTAGGGTAAGGGTTCTTGAGGTGATCCTGAAGCCACGACTTGAGAGCTGCTGTCGTTTCACGAGTCGCATTTTTCCGACGACCAAGAGCAACCCAGTCGGCCGCAGACGGATGTAGACCTCTGAAAAAAATCATTAATTTTCAAAAAATTGCTCAACTCATCTTTCTATTATTTTATTCTTATTTTTAAACATCTTTGAAGCTAATTAAGCAGCAGTTGCGCTACAAGATCATCTCGTAATGCAACACATGTTTGATTTTTCATTACTGTCATAACTTCTAAGTTGGATCTTGTTTTAATAATGAGCTATTTTAATTTCAAGTATATAAAAATGTTTACAACGTTAAAACCGGATAGTACAAATAAGCGCAAAATATTAAGACTAAATTTCTCAATAACTTGCAGCTTGTGCTGAAAAACACGATCAACCTCTCCAAAAACAAACGTTTCTCTCAGAAAAGGCTAAATTCGAAAATCCCAAATTGTATCCGCTGAGTTAGAAAATTAATTTCGCTGAGATTTTAAATAGGAGGCGACCAAAAATTAATTCACCAATTATGGTGAGGGGAGAGTTGGATTGTAAAAATGGAAACTTCAACTGACCCGTCGAAGAATGGCGAGTGAGGCCCGGCTGGTCCGTACAGTCCTGCTGACATCATCGGGGGTAGGAGTCCGGCGCCGCCTCCCACAAGAGGGAGCATTCCTGGGTTGGGTAGAAGGGGCAGGGGGAGCATGCCTGGTGCCACCATCTGTCCTAGAGAGGGGAAGGTGGTGGGGGTTGAGAAGGTAGGTGGGGGTGCTCCTGGTAGACTTCCAGATGAGTGGGGGAGTGAAAGAGACGACATAGACACCTGCAAAATCAGACAAAAAAGATAAATTTCACCATAATCTAACTATAAAACAGTTCATTGTTAAACTGTAATTAGCATTCATTAGCATGTTTCGAAGATATAGCTTCCCATAATTAGGCAAAATGGCCGTCTTACAGAATATTTCAAAACTAAAGGAAAATCAAAACCCTGAGAAAATATCACTTTGGGAGTCGGCAATAAAATATGAGAATCTCACCTCACCTATTAATGAAGAATTGAACCAAAATGTATTGTTTCTTTTTTTTCTGAAACATTCAATAAATCTTACGTTTGAAGCTGGCAAATTTCCTGCATTTTGCGACTACAAGAGGCATATTAATGAAAACAAAAGTGTAGTTGAAAAATATCTGAATTTTGCTTGTAATTCTGAGATGAAATTGTGTTTTGCTTGTTACAAACGTCATTATTAATTTACACTTCCCGAATGAAATCAGGGGAGGTGACGAAAACTATTTACATGAAAAAGGGAAAGAGAACTTCAAAACCATTTTATTTTACAATTCTCAAGTCGGTTAAAAAATAATGAATTTCGGATTAGAAACGGACGGTCATTTTTTCATGCTTAAAGTGACAGAGTGTACACCTTGAAAAAACGTAATCAATTTTTGATTAAAGCGTTTAACAGGTGTTGAAAAAGTGTGAACAAGTGCTAAACTGTTATAAAAATCACCTTTCCGCAAATGAACAAATAATGCGGCAATAAACAACTTAATCAAGAAATGTGATTTCAAAAGTAATGGAATTAAAATAGCGAGCAAAAATTTAATATTCTCATCATTTTTAGGTAGATGAAAGAACAAAGACCGACACTTCTGACAGGAAAATAACAAAAACGTTTTGATTTCAATATTTAGTTTTTAAAAACAGAACTTATTGATTTTGAATCACTGATAATATTATCATAGGGGGAAAAACCAAAACAAAAAATTATTTTTCGCCCTTTTTCAGTTTTTTTTGGCGCATAACTAAGTACATTCGCGAAACTATATGAATTTTTATATGTTCTTAAATTACTTCAAAATTTGCTGGTTTCAAATACAAAACGTTTAGTTTTCAACCAAAAGGATAAAAAACAAAACAACTTGCTCATCAGGCAGACCTGAAGAAAAACAGTCATTGAACACTTAATTATTATTTTTTAGATGTTACCCAATTTTTTCCGAAGCAGCAGATGTTATAATTTTCATTGAAAAAGTATTTCTACCCAAACAAATGAATAGTGTGTTTTATTCAAAATGTTACCAAAACACATTTTTCAGTTTTAAACAAGGCTCAAGGTCTGCTGGCTTTTTTCAAAGAGGCTTTTAATGTAGTTTTTATTAGTGGAGGGGAAAACATCTCAAAAGGACACATCTTCAAAGGGCGTCAAAATTAGATGAGGAGGCCAAGTGGAAAAAAGAATGTCGAAAAAATCAATGGAAAGATTTCTCGATGAATTTTAGAATATCTTACCCAGAGAAATAATCATCAGAGGCAAAATAGGAACGATTACAGAAAAAGGTGAACTTTTTTGTAAATTTTTTGAAACTAAGGATGAAAATAATTTAGCGAGAAATTTTCGTATTAAATTTGTGTCCGAGAAAATTGTCCTGGACAAAGTTACTCAAAAGACGGAAAAATACCCAAACAAAACATCCCCAGTCATTGAAGCCCCCAAAAAATTAAACTTGTATTGGCGGGACACAAATATCTATGCAGCATTAAATTACAGCTTCACAGCCAAGTTGCCAAAAAGGCTTAAAATAGGTGTTTTCAGTTTACCTCCTCACTTTTTAGAAAACGGCGAGAAAAAGTCGGGTTCATTTTGATAAATAGCTCGTATAATTTTGATTTTGAGGTGTTCAACTTTTACAGCCATATAATCGATTTGTGAGATTGTTTTAGCCGTGAATTTTGTATTCAAAAATTGAAATAGAGAGAGAGAGAGAGAGAGAGAGGGCAGGGATGACAGGGGAGGGGGGTTATGGGGGTGTTGGTGCTGGTGACTCGAGGAGGTTAATGTTAATGGGTACGGTGGATGCTAGAACAACTGTTACAGTCATTCCAATCACTCACACGTCACACACACATGCCCATCTAAGTCGCTACTCCCGTGTTCAAACACGCATACAATCACCACACAATCAATAAGGGTCTCCACTAGGGGGGAGGGGGTTCGTGTAACTAATATAAATTGATGGTGGATGAAATTGATCTAACAGCGAGTACTAAAGAATTAAAGCACCAAAAAAGCACCAAGTTCATGCTGCAAGAGCGATTTATGCTAAGCAGAAAAAATGCATTAAATAGAGATCATAATAGAAAACTTTGGATTATAAGTTTGTGGATATCAACCCGGGTTTATCTGGAAAAATTAAGTCTGAAACATGCAGCAATGCATAAGATTCTGGTTTGAAAATCACAAAATTTAAAAAAACATCATTTTGAATGGAACAGAAGTAACTTCACGAAAGTACTTCAAATAGTTGGATTGGACCTCTAAACAATTTATAAGCTTAAAAATGGTAAATGAAAGAGAAAGTTATTTTAACTAACCTTTTGCAATGAACAGGAGCTGCAGAAGCAAGGCCCGTTTCCTCTCAGCTGAAGCTGACACCCAGAGCCAGGCGAAACTCCACTGGAAGGAATGGAACCCATCCCATCGCCTCCAGATCCCGGCCTCGGTCCGCCCAGTCCAATCTGAGACCCCCCATGGAATCCCGCTCCTCCCATCAGCTGATGCGACTTGAGGAGTTGACCCAGAGCTGATCTGGCCGCAGCAGCTGCTGCCATGTTAGCCACGTGATTTATGTGTGCCGGGTTGTGCGAACCGGGGGGAAATGGAAGAGGGGTGATGGTGGGAGCAATCGGCGACAGAGGCAGAGGAGAGTGCTTCGTCATTTGAAGTTGGGAAGTGGCAATAGGCGGTGGAATTGACACGGGTGCAATGTCGCTTTTGTAGGCCGAGTTTCCGTTCACTGCGTGGTTGGTCCGAGTTGGAATTTTGACCAAGTTTGCTGCGTTACTTGTTGAAGCCGATAGTGCTGCTTGGAGTGCTGCAAAGTCGTGGATTGTCGGTCGGCTGATGTTTTTCAGTAGCAAGTTGTTGTTTTCATTCGCGGCTCCGTTTGCCAACAGAGACTGTAAATTGAAAATGTAACTTGAGCGATTAGCTTTTTGAAAATAATTGGCTTCGTTTTTGTGTGTAAACAGCAAACTTCTTATTTAAATTACAACTGCAAACATGTGTCAGCGAAAGCATTAGATGGTGGTTAGAGGACTTTTTTAACGACGAGAAAAGTCTAATTAATCAAAAAGTTATAATACGTTCTCGTTACAATTTTTATCCAATTAAAAAGATTATAACGGCTATTACCACTCACTTGTGTGGAAGGTGCTGTTTAATTTGTTCTTCAATTTGCGGCTTCAAAAGCCATAAAAAAAGCTATTTTCAACCTGGTTTTGATGTTTTATTGCCATTTTACACCAAATATTATAAGACTTGCTTCTTAAACTTTTCTAAAAACAATATTCTAAACATTTGAGAGCCATTTAAAATTGCGTTTCAAAAATTGCGATTTTTTTGGCGCCAGTATGTCTGGAAAGAAATCGGATGAACGTAATTGAAAACTTTTATTTTAAAAGGATTTTATTTGGTCAAATTTCTCAGAATAGTGAATCAAAATTTCGAAAAATCATTTGGGCTTTATTACACAATAAGTGAATGTCTTTAGATGTTTTTAGTAGTGACAACTTTTCAGGCGCCAGTATGTCTGGATAAAAATTGGATTAAAAAATAACAACGTAAGAAAATACTCACCTTATTAATCGGAGAACTAGCCATGAGAAGCGAAAAATTAAAATTATGAGCGTGGATACTGTAAAATTACTTCTATTCAAAGTAATTCGCCAATAAAATTAAAACACACAGCGACTACAGTCTTCATTAAGCGGCGCCGCGCTGTCTGGCTTATAATGATTGGTAGATAGAAAGCAGCAAAATTATTCGATAAATTCAAATTTAGACTCGCTTTATACACAAAATACCTCTTCTATTTCTCCCTTTATATAATCACTTTTTCACTATTTGTAAAAAATACTTTCCAGATTTATACTGAGTCACTTTTAAGAGGGAACTGAACCCAATTTTTTCAATTTTTGTAATCCAAAAAGAATTATTAGGCAATTTTGAAGAAAATTCGAACTTTAAACGAGGAAGTTGCGACTAGAATTCAGATATCGACTGAATTTGGATTTTTTGGAAGTAGGAATAAATTTCAGAAATTAAAAAGGAGGATGCCAATTTTTAAAGAGCGCGCAATATTGAGAAAGACAACAGATTGCACAACTTGAAAGAGTGTTTCGACCTCACAGAGCCAGTTAGTCTTATCACAGTTTCGGAATGTATGGACTTGAAGAGATCCTTACGAACCCGTTTCAAGATCCCTCAAAGTACCAATTGAACATCGTGTAGAAAACGTGTTCTTAAATCTAAAATAGTTGATAAACAACAAGTAGTCAACAAAAAACATCAACATCAAAAACACCTCATAGTTCGGAACCCCACGTGGTGTTTCGCCACAGGGCACCATTGTTTGTACGAATTATTTACTAATTGTTGGAGAAGCTAAATCAAAGTTTAAGGACTTTAAGTCAAAACTTATGAGAGTTATTCGGTGATAACCGGTTATAAGATATCAGTAGACCGATTGGACCTAGCGTCCGTTGTTTTTCAATGATAAAATCATTGCCAATATTGAGGTTTTTAATTATGTCTCGCTGTTGCTAGACTTCTGTGCAAAATATCCTAAAAATTATATGAAGTCCAACCTTGATATGCCCCCTTAGGTTACTATAACTCTGCTGGAATAGTGGAATTTTGTCCTATCTCAATAAAAATTTGTGCGAGAATGGTGTATCACCCATCATTTGAAATGAGGTAGATGGTTGTTCTAAAGGTACATGGTGTTTTCGCATGGAGCAATCATTGCATAAATTATGCGATGGCTAATTGCGGCACCTAAAGAATACCCGATGGATTCATGAACCATTCTGCTACCGGAATAACTAAGATGGTTTTTAATTACGTCACCAGAAGTTAAACAATCAGAACATTTCAATTAATCAGTTCATTGAAGCTTGCCAATAAAATAAGAGACCAAGAAGCCTACATGCAATTTTTCGATTTACTTTTCGGATCTGGGCTCAAAAAAATTCCCCTCTATTCTCTACTCGAACAAAGAGGAAATTGAGGTGATACCAATTGAGATGATTTTCGAAACGGCACATCAGTACTTAATAGGTAGAGAAGCTCATTACAAACTTGAAAGTGATATGTATTTAGTTGAGGAGAGCCAGAAAAGCAGTTCGGTTTCCAGCTAAAAAAGAAAAGTTCGGCAAATAATGTTTTAAAAATCAATTTCCCCTTCCTTGAAAAAAGGATGAGAAAAAATCCTAGAAAAATGGACAAATTCCTTTGCAGAAACAGCTTCAAGCATTTCTTTTCCCAAAATATAGGCTAAATATATACATGATTCATTTCCAAATACTATGCTCGACTGTCAATACTGAATCGACAGTTCAGCTCGATTGTACCGAATTTCAAATCATCTTAATTTTTATAGCTGCTTCGAAGAACGGTCATTTCAGTTATATGTTACTGTATTCACAGCTTCGTATTTATATCTAGCCTGTTTTTAGGCTAAAAAAGACCTACCAACCCAACTCGGTTTTTGAGCGACATAAAAATGGGAGCTTTAATTTTCGAAATGCTAAATTTTGAAGTTTCGAATTTCGTTTATCATTTCAGAATTATCAACGAACGAACGCAAAAAACCTTCATTTTCTGAAAACTGCAACTTTACTCCTTATCTTGTTTTTGCAAAAGAGTTTTGCAAGAAACAACCTTGAGACCTCTGGATCAGTAGACAACTACCCTTGCTATTAACCAATATGTAAATATTTTATTTGTTAGTACTCAATCTCAAATTTGAAATGAGTTTGCAAAATACGTTACTAATTAATTCAATTAGCTGGAAGCAAATAACACTCAATTTGAAGCAAAACAGTTAAGTAGTTACAGCTTATTCAACTTCAAAGGGTTGTCGGGTCATTCCATGTTATTTACCGTTACAAGCAACTATGTTTTGCGATGCTAAGAGCTGTTTCCATGGCTTCTGTTTAGTTTGCACATAAGTTCGAACGTTTGATAGAACTCGTGGAAGGTTCAATTAAAATTTCAAAACGAAAGCCAATTAAACAATACTGCTCGTATCGGGTCGAAGCCCTGAATGTTCCGACTGCCTTTTAAGGTCTATAGAGCAGTAATAACATGAAAAAATTTATTTGGCAAATAAGTTTCCTTCAACCAATTTGGAACGATTTCTAAGACGGATTAAATCTGCGCTTACGCGTTAAGCGCGAAATATATCGCAAGTCGTCCCAAGTTGGGCAAAATGTCAATCTTTAAGCCCCCATAACTTAACAAAAAATGATCACAGCTGAAATATCTTTTTAAATTTAAGCTCAATACAGCAATACTTTTTGAATGATACAAAAGTTAGTCAAAGCTGGCCAGTTAAAAAGTCAAAATTTGTCTTAAGAAAAAAACACCCGAGCCCAAATATTCCGTTACTTTCCCTAAGAAGTCTAAAGAACAAGATTAATCGACTTTGCTGTGCACGTAGCACAGAGTATTCCGACCAGCTGATTTGAAAATTCGAAATTCTAACTATTATTATTTTTTTTGCAAAAGTGTTTTCTAAAATTCTTGAGCTTTTTCCTAGAAAGGGCGATTAAATTAGGGGGAAAATTGCAAGAAAAATCCGTAACTCCAATTAAAAAGTTGTTAAAGTTACATAAAAATTAAATATGGGAGGCCAGTTTATCATCAATTTGGCTGAATTAGTCTGATAATTGAAAAATTATTAGACCAGCTTTCCTCGAGACATTTTTTGAATTGTTAAAATCAGAATCAAGACCAAAAGGATTTTTATTAAGGTACCACTTTTGGGCCCTTTTAAATTTTCTAGGAGTATTTTAGCTGCAAAAATTTATTTTCTTCCCACTTTTAGAGAAAGGTCGGAATATCAAAATTTACATTGACCTCTATTTGTTTGATAAGAGCCCAAAAACTTCAGGGGGCTGGAACAAGATTCTTATTTCAAACTTTTATTTTGATTTTTTGACATAATGTTTTCTCAAGTCTATTTTGTGAGGTTATTTTTATCAAAATATGATAAAAACTTCGTTTTTCAAGGATCAATTGCCAGCCAGAGTTTTAGAAGCGCTTCCAGTGAAGATATTTGTACATTAACAAGTACAAACATCTTAAAAATATGAATAAACAAAATTTCGAGCAAACGGGCTAAACAAAGCTTTACACTGCTTGCGATACGTCAAAAACATAGCCGGTCACAATCTAAAAAAACTTTCAAAAAAATGTTAAAAAAGGCATTTAGAAAAGTTTTCACATCAGGACTTGATTTGATGCAATTAACTTTGGAAGAAACCTGCCGAGATCGACAATTTTCAGTCTTAATATCATCAGCCCAAAATTACAATGCGCTAACTATGCCAACAAAACAAGAGTAGCTAACCGTCATGTCAAAAAAATTTGAATTTTTACCCTGAGCATTAAAAAATCTAAAGTTCAAAGTTAATAAGTCACACTTAGAGTGAAGTTTTTCCTTACAAACTTATCCACAATATGAAGCTAATTGAAGCAACATACACAGAAAGTTTCAAGTAAAAAACCTTTTTTAACAATTTCTTAAAAACAAGGGATAAAAAGATACAGACAAGATAACACACAAAACTCGGTTGAAACAGGCATTGGAAATGCAACGATGCTCAAGTTTGATGGGAGTCAAATGTCAGGGCTGAAAAATTTAGTCTTGAGAAAAAAGTCTAGCACGGATTCATTAAAGTTGCTCTCGCCAGTGTCTAATTATTAATGTATTTTTTCCAAAAGTTTGCTTCAGAAAATTTTTTAAAATAAATATCTACGTTTCTTTTTTAAAAATAAACGATAAATTTGAGGTGAAAAAGGCAAGAGTGAGAGTTAATGATAGCGTAGCAAGTGTATTATTTGTAACAGATCCAATTGAGAAACAGCTCGCATCAAATGTTGTTTATTTTTGTCGAAAAACCGAAAGCAGCCCGACAAGTCTTGGTCGACCCTAAGACAATTAACCGACACTTCGTTTGAAACAGAATATTTTCAGTTACAAGAAAGTATGTCGTCTGGATTTGAACCTAAGAATTTGGCCCACCCAGGCGTAGACGTTACCTTTCAGCGAAAATGGCCGAAAAAGATATCAAACATGATGTTATTGCAAACTGAAGTCATGAATGAGTCACATGATTTTGATGAACAAAAAGAAAACTATTTCCCAGCAAGTCAAGAACGATGGCGTTGCAAAAGTGTTTTTTTTTTCAAAAAATTTTTGTCATAGGGTTTTTTGGTTTTTCTTTGGAAATTTTTACGATGTTTCAAAAGCTCTTTTGTAGCAAATTTTTCGACATTGAACTAATTTTGGTTTATAAACAAAGCTCATGCATCAAGGTGGGAACAGTCGCGGTTTTAGTCTTGTAAAAATTCTGATTTTTATTAGATTTATATGATCCACGTTATAAAGAGATTTTGTATTCTCAATTTGTTAAGCAAATAGCACTTAGAAGCTTTCGACTCTCGAATCAAAGAGTTTGGACCAACCAAATTTTTCGAACTCTGTTGTCTGTCGTTTTTCTCGAGCAAAAAAAGGAACTCAAAATTATGAGCTTTACTTGAAGCCATTTTGAGGCCACAAAACCAAATGCCTTGTGTTGTTAGCCTAAGTGTATCCACAGCAAGAACACCTTTGAAAATAATTTTGATGAATTTGCTTTTTTGCGCCTTCAATACACGATTTCCTAAAAATTGACGTAACTAGCTCTTTTCAAATCTTTTTTAGTTGGCATGTCTCAAATAGTTGCAAAACAACGACAAAAACATGAAAAGAATTATTTATTCACTCGTTGAAATCATATATTCAGTTTTTATGTCCCGTGACTGTACCTGATTTAGCGCTTGTTGGTAATGTTTTCAAAAACAACTTTGTAAAAATTTTTTAAGATTATTAATAAGTTTTTTTTTAACTCAAAACGTATTCCATACATTTTAAAGACAGTAGGCCTAGTCAGGGCTTCGTCCAGATATGAGCCGCCCACAAGTTAGTTCTTTTGCTAATTAGGTTACATTTTTAATTTTTCAAATTTTACCCCTGTTTCAAGCAGTTAAGTTATTCCGCTGTTTTGTTGTTGAGCGTGAGCCTATGAAAACACTAAATAAGAAATCGGAAATGTAATAGCAATCGCTTTGCTGAAACAATCGTAAGCTCTTAGGCTTTTTTTATTGGTTTAAAACATCAATCAAATTTAGAGACTTCTTATCCA